ATCCACGTGTCGTCTTGTGATACCATCGTCAAGCCAGCCAATCGGAACAATGCCACGTCAGCCCAAGGAGTAATGCCACGTCATCAGGTTATCACCACATCAAAAGACAAGTGCGGTAATCCTCTCCTGTCACATCAGCAATAAGCACCTCCAAGAGCCACGTCAGCTCCTGCTCAGGATCTGGTCGTATGTCAGCGACGAACGGGACGATACTTGCCACGTCAGCAACCAGATCCTGGGACGTGGCACATCTTATGCCACGTCAGCAGACTGTCGCGACCTTCGGTCGCGATCCCGGCTGGTATCCCAACTGCCACGTCAGCACGTGTGTCGGGATCGGTATCCTAAATAGTCTTCTCACCAGCAGTCTTCGTCGTCATCAACAGCACAGCTTCCTCATCATCATCTTGTCACGTGTGCAGGTCTTTAAAGGAGGTAAGTGCCCTGTCTAGACTGTCGCGCGATTATAATCGCGATTGAGCACTTCCTCATACTTACCTGGCGCCGCCTGGCGCTTGCACACATGTATCTTCGTCGTCGTTATCGTCGTCGTAGACAGGAGTACTGCTCCGATACCAAATTGCAATGAACTCAAGTCAGGAATACGAATGTCAACAGTGCAAGTCCAGATTATCGAGCCGCTGATAGTTTTCAATAATCAGATAGTATCCAAAAAGAGAGATGTGAGATAATCATACACAGACGAAGAGGAAGGAGGGAGATAAGACAAAGGAGAGGAAGATACAATGCCCACTCCTTCTCCAGGCTCCTTCCTTGACCGCCACCTCACAATAACTAGTAATCTGAACACATATCGAAGTCCTGTTACAATGTGCCACGTGGCACCCAATCAACCTCTCATCAGCGCTGGAGTCACATTGACATGAAGATCCCAGGTACGTATCCACAACCTCCTCACAGTCCCGATCTCCTCCTGAACTGACGATGAAACAGCCTTGATATCTCCCTGAGGTGATGATAGAATAGAACTGCAATGCCGGTCCTATAGACCCGGCAATGTCACATGTGGCAACAACCACGTCAGCAGCAACACGTGACAATGCCACGTCAGCAAGCCTTGAAGACAGTAGCCAGCCAGTCAGCGCACCAGCCAGCAGCGTGTTGCCGCTATCTCGCCAATGCCAGCGTAATGCCAGCGTCCGCCAGCATCGCAGCGTCCAGCCAGCGACGTGCTGTCAGCGCATAGAGCAGCGTCAACGCAAGACAGAAAGAATGAATGTCAAAGCCAGGGAGTCCATGCTTATGTAGCGTTGACTCGGGGTCTGGACCCCGGCTGCTGCAGACTCCAGCCGTCCAGATCTTGACACCGGGAAGGGCCTGGATCGATCTGAAGCTGTATCCTCTTCGGCCTGGATGCATGTCTTGGTACCTGCGCGCAACAAGTGTATGTATCCAACCAAGGTCCTGGCGTGGTACCTTTGACTTGACAGTTGACTTTGACTCTTGAATTTCCTGATCTTAGCACTTGGTCCCACAGCCACGTGCGGCCTTCTCAGTTCTGGGCATGTGTTGGTCACACAGCCCAGCGCAGACCAATTCTGGTCTGCGTGGCCTGGGGCTGAGTTCTGGGCCCCGGGCCACTTCTGAACAGGGTTACTACAAGGGGGCTGAACTGCACAGTCCTAATTGATAAACTGAAAATATTGAGGCATCGGGTATTCCATCATACCCGCGGGGGTGATTATCCGTGCAGTGAGAGCCCAACCACAATCTCACTCCCACCACAAAAGCAGTGAGCGCACCACCCCGATCTGATCCTCAGCACAAAATGGACTGAGCGCACAGCCCCGATCTGATCCTGGGTGCAGAATGTAGTGAGCGCACAACCTCGATCTGATCCTCAATATGCAATGCAACAAGTGCACAAACCCGATCCAATCCTCAGTACGGAATGCAGTGAGCGCATAAACCTGATCTGATCCTCGGTACAGAATGAAGTGAGCGCACAGACCCAATCTGATCCTAAGTACGGAATGCAGTGAGCGCACAGCCCCAATCTAATCCTCAGTACGGAATGCAGTGACCGCCGAGACCCATTCTAATCCTCAGTACGGAATGCAATGAGCGCACGAACCTGATCTGATCCCCCGTACGGAATGCAGTGAGCGCACAGCCCCGATCTAATCCTGAATGCGGACTGCAGTGAGCGCACAGACCCAATCTAATCCTCAGTACGGAATGCAGTGAGCGCCCAAACCCGATCTGATCCTCGGTACGGAATGCACTGAGCGCACAGACTCGATATGATCCTGGGTATGGAATGCAGTGAGTGCACAACCCCGATGTGATCCTTGGTTATACACAAACGCTCAAGCTCCAAGTTCCAAAAACTGCATACGAGAACGTAGATTGCAAGTCCCAACCTCGTAACTCATACATCAGCCCACAGATTCCTAGCCCTTATCCTGCGCTGACTCAAGGAGAAAGGGTGTGTACATGTTTGATGGGGAAGGGTGTACATATTACATGTGGGCTCAATAACTAAGGACTTGCTCGCACTGGCTTGTTGTGCAGTGTGCACAAAGAGCGTGAGCAGTTGCTCGTGCTGGCTCATAGATGGCCTGCGAATGCAGACGCTGGCTCACGGATCGACGACACACAGATGCACGCACAGGCTCACAGATCAATAGCGCACGGATACACACACTGGCTCACTGGTCAATGGTGCATGGATGCACGCACAGTTCACTGATCGATGGCGCACGGATGCGCGCACTGGCTCTTTGATCGACGACACACGGATGTGCGCGCGACTCATGGACGCACAGCTCACTGATCGATGGCGCACGGATGCTCACACTGGCTCTCCTATGGACGACGCAGAGATGCGCACACAGCTCACGGATCAATAGCGCACTGATGCACGCGTAGTTCACTAATTGATGGAGCATGGATGCATGTACGGCTCACTGATCAATAGCGTACGGATGCACGCGCTGGCTCTCTTATCCCGCTGCCCAAAAGCGTGTGGGCACGAACACTGGCTTGCTGATCTAAAGGCATGCAAGAGCGTGCGCTGCATGGTGCACAAGTTGATGACACGCTGGCGTGAGAGCTGACAGATGCGCGTGCTGGCTAGTTGGTCTATGGTACTTGGTTGCATGCATTGCCTTCTCGGTATACAACAGGTGGAAGTGAGCATGCCCACAAATATATGGCACGGAGATGTTCTGTGACTCGTGCAGAAGCACCCGCTACTGGAGTAGCACATTTAGCATGATTGGTCCATGCGTGGGCGCATGATACCGAAACAGCTCAATTGTGGGCACCCTCAAGTGGGCGCACTCACGGGCATTAAATTGGTGAAAAACAAGTGGACAAAGAAGGAAGAAAAACAAATAGAGGGGGTGAGGGAGACAAGGGAGAGAGAGAAAAGGAAGGTGAGGGGCAGGAAAGGATGACGATGGGAGGATGAATGGGCCAGGTGAAAACCCTGGGGTGCCACCCCTCCCAATGCAGCCCCTCCCCTCTCCTTACCTCCTCTCTTGCCTGCCTTGACCCTGCTCTAACTTACTTCTGGCGTCGTAGCTCTCAACCCGTTCCACCAGCACTCCTGTACTCCAGCATGTGTGGGATGAGCAGCACAACCTCTCCTTTTACAGTGGAGGCTTGGTGGTCGGGCCCAAGTGCAGCAGTCCAAAGTTTGGGGCTAGGGCTAAAAATAGATCGGGCCTGTGCTAAAATTAGCACCAGTCCGGACCTTGGAATACGAACAACCAGTCTCGTGCTAAAATTAGCACGGGCCTGTGCTAAAAATAGCGCGCGACTGGGACAGTCCCGACCTTGGAAAATGAACAGTCAGCCCCGTGCTAAAATTAGCACAGGCTTGCGCTAAAAATAGCACTGGCCTGCGCTTAAAATAACACGGGCCTGCGCTAGAAATAGCGCGGGACTGGGACAGTCCCGACCTTGAAACACGAACAGCCATTCCAGTGCCAAAAATAGCACAGGCTTGTGCTAAAAATAGCACGGGCCTGCGCTAAAATAGTGCAGGAATGGAACTGGCCAACCTGGGAATAGGAAGGGTCGGCCCTGTTCTAAAATTAAACCGGACTCGTCTAAACTATAATAAGGGCCCATCTCCATGTTCCCTTGACCATTTCAGGCCATACCTTTCCCGACAAGGCCAAATGACCATGTCAGTCTGGTCCCAAGTAGACAACTACACTTTTCTTACTAATTCTTTGTCTGTTTTCAGTGTTGTTTGGACTGGGCCGACTTCAACCCAGTATCTCGCCACTCAAGTCCCACGCACTCCACTCACTCCTACACTCTCAGAGTCTAGCGCTGCACTGAAACCGCCTCCCAGAGGCCAGCGCCACACACCCTGATGCAGATCATGAATAGCGAAGTAGTCTCCAGTGCCGATGCGTCACTCTGACGATGAAGAAGGCAGCTATGGCTGCCTAGCTGCTACTGCAGCAGCAGTACCCACATGTACTTAGTGAAGACCCTCCAGTAGTCCTGCCGAACGCAGATATCCCCTGGGGATAGATGCGCTGAGCACAGCCCCAGCTATGGCTGTCTCAGATAGGCTGGCTATGGCTGCTTCACGCAGCTGATGTCGCAAGTGCCACTGTAGACATTCAGCGCTGCTAAACTTGGTTGGCCACCAACGCTGCACGCGAAAAATGAAAAGCCAAAAGTCCCTACTCGATTCCCCTACAGGACTTATAGACTTCCTACACTAGCCTAGACCTAGACCGGACTGACTGGACCTACCGATACCGCTGCTGTTTCGGCCTCTCGGCCTCTACCGGACCCGGCTATAGGCTATAGGACCGTATAGCAGTATAGGCCGCTTAGGGCCTGTCTGTCCTAGGGTAGCCCGGGCCTGCTATAGGCAGTTAGGGTAGCTGTAGGAACTCGGTTAGTACCAGGTCTGTATTTTTCAGAAATTACAGATCTGTCCTTCACGAATTTCCACACAGGCGGATCTCTCGGTTAGCCCTCAGCCAAACAAAATTACAAAACCAACCCTACAGGTTAGTATACAGCCTCGCTGACAATCTCGACAGCAGGAATCAACAAGTCTATGCAGGCTTACCCTCCCCGGGAGCGAGGACCTCAGAGCTAGGGGTGCAGATGAGGCGAACGGCGAAGGTTACCCTTCTGAGCCGTCTCATACCGCAGTACCACAGACTTTGCTGTCTTGATCAGGTCTCTTCTGTAGAACCATCGGTTCTCAGAAGGGGGCTGGAAAGCAAACCTGACAAGATACTGTCGGTCGGGGCCAGTGACCCACTCATCCTCAATGGCCACCACATCATATCCCTTGCCAGGGATTGGTGGGCCCCATTGAGGGGGCCGGTCAGGAAATGCATCAGCTGGCGTAAAAGGCAGCAGCTTAGATGCATGAAAGACCGGATAGGTTCGTAGATGCAGCGGAACGTCGATAACGTACGAAGAACCGAAGGGATCAACGCCCACTGTATCTAGAACCTGCCACGGACCCAGGTAGCGTGGCAACAGCTTGGGAGAAATATCCTCCTCCCTCGACAACTCAGAACTGGCCACCCACACATAGTCACTAGTACGGATGGGGGAAGGCCGCCTGTGGCGGTTAGCTTGTTCGATCATGGCCTTTCGGGCCTTGAACAAGTTCGCCCGGGCTCTTTCCACATCCAGACGATAACGTCTGGCGAACTCAGCAGTGTCTGGGGTAAGGTCAGGCTTAGCCTTGTCGATGATATCATCGAGAGGCTGTCGTGGCTCACGTCCCCAGTGTAACCGGTAGGGACTGAACCGTGTCGAGGAGTGGACAGACATGTTATACATGAGCTGTGCCTTCGCCAAGTGGAGATCCCAATCCTGCTGATCTGGAGAGATCACAAGACGTAGCAACTGGAACAGGACTTGGTTCATCACTTCAGCCAATCCATTGGCTTCAGGATGACGACCTGAAGTCATGTCCAGGCGTGAGTGTAGATAGTCCTTACAGTAGGACTGCCACTCATCGCTGCAGAATCTGCTAACAATGGAGGTGGGCGGTCCATGGTGCGTGACCCACCTCTCAGAAAAGGCTGCTCTCACAGCCGGTACCCTAGCTACCTCTGGCAAGGGGATGAACTCTGCGTATTTGGAGAACCTGTCCACGCAGACCATAACCGGACGCATGCCCCGAGGGGTGGTCTTGCCTAAATCTGTGAAGTCTATCGACATAGATTCAGCAGGGCCATCAGGTATGGGTAAGGGTTTGAGCAGTCCCAAAGGAGGTCTACGCTGGACCTTATTCCTTTGGCAGAGCTCACAGGTGTCCACATAGCGCAGCATATCACTCCGCATCTCCTTCTAGAAGAAGCGCTGCGACAGGGCTGCATAAGACTTTAGGAACCCAAAATGTCCACGGGAGTCATGACACTCTAACATCAGCAATGTCCTGAGCCGCTAGTCCTGGGGAATGCACAAGCGTTCCTCACCTCTGCTGCAAGTATACAACAAGTCTGAACTCAGAGCATGGCCTGATTCAGAATTAGGATCTGCTTGCAGATTCCTGATGATGGGTCCGAAAGTCTCGTCCTGAGGCAGTAGACGAGCAATGGTCTGACGGGTCTCCTCTCCAAAGGAGCGAGTAGAGGAGATCAGCGCAAAAGAGTCAGGCCTACGAGAGAGGGCATCTGCTACTTTGTGGTAGCAGTCCTTCTTATGCTTCAGTTCAAAATCAAACATGTCAATTAACTAAATGTACCGTGCCAACTTGTCATTCAACTCTCCCTGACACTTCATCCACTGGAGGGTGGAGTGATCTGAAAAGATCTTGAAGTGCCTGCCCAGGAGAAAGTGTTTCCAATGTTTCAGGGCACATACAAGAGCATATAGCTCTTTCTCATAGGTGGAGTCCTGGAGCTTTTGAGTCTTGATCTTCTTACTCGTAAGCTCTACAGGCCGTAGACCATTCCCATCATCCTGCTGAAGAACTGCCCCAATGCCATACTGATTGGCGTCAGTGGTCAAGATAAATGACAAAGTGGGGTCAGGTAACTTCAGCACAGGCGCACGGGTCAAGGTCTTCTTGAGTCGTGTGAAGGCCAACTGACAGTGGAGGGACCAAAGAAAGGGAATGCCCTTCTTTGTTAGGTTAGTCAGGGTGCAACCACTGCAGAAAAGTTCATGACAAACTTTCTGTAGTAGGAGGCTAAACCCATGAAGGACCTGACACCCCTCACTGTCTGAGGCTGAGGCCACTCCTGAATAGCTGCAGAATCTGGGGTCTCGATCACTAACAATGGAGGTGGGCGGTCCATGGTGCGTGACCCACCTCTCAGAAAAGGCTGCTCTCACAGCCGGTACCATGGTTACCTCTGGCAAGGGGATGAACTCTGCGTATTTGGAAAACCTGTCCACGCAGCCCATGACCTGACGCATGCCACGAGGGGTAGTCTTGCCTAAGTCTGTAAAATCAATGGATACAGACTGGGCAGGACCATTAGGTATGGGCAAAGGTTTGAGCAATCCCAAAGGAGGTTTACGTTGAACCTTGTTCTTTTGGCAGAGCTCACAGGTGTCCACATACCGCAGCATATCACTCCGCATCTCCTTCCAGAAGAAGCGCTGCGACAGAGCTGCATACGACTTTAGGAACCCAAAGTGTCCACGCGCGTCGTGGCACTCTGACATCAGCAGTGTCCACATCTGTTGATCCTCAGGGATGCACAAACGCTCCTCTCCTCTACTATAAGTATACAGCAGATCTGAACTCAGGACATAGCCAGGTTCAGAGTTGGGATCTGCTTGCAGATTCCTGACGATGGGTCCATAAGTCGGATCCTGAGGCAGTGAACGAGCAATGGTCTGACGGACGTCCTCTCCAAAGGAATGAGTAGAGGAGATCAACGCAAAAGAGTCAGGCCTACGAGAGAGGGCGTCAGCTGCTTTGTTGTAGCAGCCCTTCTTATGTTTCAGTTCAAAGTCAAACAGATCAATGAACTGAATGTAACGTGCCAACTTATCATTTAACTCTCCCTGGGACTTCAACCACTGCAAAGTGGAATGATCAGAAAAGATCTTGAAGTGTTTGCCCAGGAGAAAGTGTTTCCAGTGTTTCAGGGCACTGACAAGAGCATACAACTCTTTCTCGTAGGTAGAGTCCTGAAGCTTCTGAGTCTTGATCTTCTTACTCATAAACTCTACAGGTCTCAGACCATTCCCATCATCCTGCTGAAGTACTGCCCCAATGCCATACTGACTGGCGTCAGTCATCATGACAAAAGGCAAAGTGGGGTGAGGTAACTTCAGAACAGGTGCACGAGTCAAGGCCTGTTTGAGTCGTGCAAAGGCCATCTGACAGTGAAGGGACCAAAGAAAGGGAGTGTCTTTCTTTGTGAGGTTAGTCAGGGGTGCARCCACTGCAGAAAAGTTCCTGACGAACTTTCTGTAGTAAGAGGCCAGACCCAAGAAAGACCGGACATCTCTCACTGTCTGGGGCTGTGGCCAATCCTGAATAGCAGCAATCTTGGCTGCTTCAGGGGCCAGTCCATCTCCAGAGATTACATGACCCAGATAGATCACAGAGGGAACTCCAAAAGAGGACTTCTCTTTGTTGATCTTGTACTGGCTGCCACGTAACGGCTGAAGAACCAGAGCCAGGTGCTCCGCATGTCCCCTGGTAGTTTTGCTGAATACCAGGATATCATCCAGGTAGACAACCATAAACTTATCCAGGTACGACCTGAATATGCGATGCATCTCAGTCTGGAATGTGCCAGGTGCATTGCAAAGTCCAAATGGCATCACCGGGTACTCATAAGTGCCATACCTGGTTTTGAAGGCCGTCTTGTGGACGTCCTCCTCTGCCATCTCAATCTGGTGATAGTCTGATTTGAGGTCGACTTTGCTGAAAATGGTGCAGCCCTGGACCATATCCAGAAGGTCATCGATCCTAGGAAGTGGCTCTGTGCTCTTCCTAGTGATCTTGTTGAGACCCCTGTAGTCTATGCACATTTTGAACTCACCATTCCCCTTTGGAACAAAGAGGACTGGAGCACCGAATTCAGAAGTGTTGGGCCTGATCCAGCCCTTGCTGGTCAGGGTCTCAAGCTGTCGCCTGAGCTCCTCAAGCTCAGCAGGTGACATCCTGTAGATGCGGCCCTTGGGAGGGACCGCTCCAGGCAGCAGCTCAATGCGATGCTTGGTTGGCCGGTTGGGTAATCCAAAGGGCTCCTGCATCAGATCAGCGTACTGGTCCACAACCTGCTGTACCTCAGGAGGACAGGGAGTAATGGGAGCGTCTGTCTGCTTGACCAGAGCTATAAACAGACGCTCATGGTCGTACTGGCGAGAGAGAGCATAAAACTCTCTCGCTCTCAAGCAGAAGCAGGATGTCTTAGGGTGGTGATCAGCTGCAATCATACAAGGCTGATACACCCCCTTGCTGTTTGGCAGCTCAACCTTGGGGATCTGCCAGTCGATCCTAGGGTTGACTGCTCTCAGCTGCTGCATGGAGAAAACAAGATCAAAAGGGAGGTCAGGGAAGATGTAGAAGTTCAGATTGTGTCTGACTTCTCCAGCGCTGTCGAAGGTAACAGGGATACCCCTGACCTTCTCCCTGATAGTCAGAACAGTGGAGTCCCCTATCCTGACCTGCAGCGGTTGCTGCAGTTGCACCACTTTCATGCCCAGGTGCAGTTTTTTTACTGCACTGGGGGACATGAAATTTCGGGTGGCTCCACAGTCTAATAACCCCTTGATCCTACTATGGCTGATCAGGGGCCGAAGAAGTATGAGGTCAGACTTGTTCTGCTTTTGTTCTTTCAGATGAAAAAAAAAAGCAGCAAGAGCCTGAGACTCAGACTGGTCCGGTTCCTGATCCGGGTCAGGATCCTCATATGTAAAGGATGCTGCCCGTGCAGTTCCCACACTGGATGGGAAGGAATGAGTCTCAACTGAAGCTGTTGCTGCTGCAGATGCAGTTGCAGCACTGGAGGGAACTGCTGTCTCCAGGTTCAGCTGCAGTTTTTTGAGTGAGCTGGACTGGGCATGTGAGGACAGTCCTTGAGAAAGTGTTGTCCTTCACACCTCAAGCTGACACCTCTTTCCTTCCTCTTCCTCCACACTCCCTCCTGGATCTTCAGATCATGCCATGGGAGAGTGTTGGGGTTTAGAGGGTCTGCTGGAAAGTGGACGTCACGTGGCAGGTTAGGGCGCCGGGCAGGGGTTGAAGAGCGACGTCCCTGACTCTTCCCCTTGCTGCTGGAGGTTGTGCTGGAGGCAGACCCGACCTTTTGGAAGGCCCCCAGCGCAGCCTGCAGCTGCTAAACAACTGCTGCAACATCCGGGACAACAACTGAAACAGTCCCAGCAGGCGGTGTACCAGGCTGGGATCCTGTCTCAGAAGCTGACCCAGAACCCGCATATGCAAAGGCCGCCTTTCCCTTTCTACCACCGCGAGGGAAGGCGCCTCTCCTCCTGTCACTGGAGGGGGCCAGGACATGAAGCTTGGCTTCCATGTCCAGTGCTGCGCGTCCAAAAGATCTCCAGTCTTTATGACCGGCGCTGTACAAAGCAACACAAAACTTTTCAGGCACGACCCTGCAAAAGTTAGTCAACAAATCATCAGCAGACATAACCAATCCAGGGGTGGAAGTCAGCTGCTCAAATTCAGCGAATAAGGCCTGCAGACTCCCGCTGTAACGCTGCTGGCCCAGGCGTACTATCTTATCAGCAGCTTTGCGGACTCTCTCTTTGTCTGCAAACCTATCTTCCAGGGCCTGCAAAAGTTTGCCAGCCCCCAGTGCCAATGCCCAGTCCTCCAAAGTCTGACTCTGGGCACTTGCTGTAGAGGTAGCCCATTTCTGGGCAGGCCCCTCCAGCAGACCCACAACAGTGGCCACCTTTTGCTGCTCTGGGCACTGGAACCCCTTCAGATAGGCCCGGGTTCCAGCTGCCCAGTCCCCCACATCAATCTTGGGGTCATCCCCCTTGAATTTATTGGGGGCAGGAATCTTGGGACCTCTGTGGTCCCCAGCAACAATAGCAGCAAAGGTGGGAGGAGGTGTGGCTTTGGCCTGGGAGGAGACTGAGGGAGAAGCCTTGTGCGAAGAATGAGGAGACACAAGAGGTGGAGAAGGAGGTGGAGAAGGGGGCTGAGAAGGCTTCTTAGGCTTCAGAGAGGGGACCACAGGGACCAGGGGACTAATGACGTTGGCTGCTGTTAACTGAGCAGTCAGATTCTGGATAGCATCCAGGATCTTTGACTGCTGAGTTTCCAGATCAGCCACTCGGGTCTCCAGCCGCTGGATCCTCTCATCCCAGTTTGTGAAATGGTTGGCTGTAAGTTTGTCCTGCAACAAAATCAGCTCAGCTAGGTCCCGTGTACACTGGGCCACTCTGCCATCTGCAAAAGTCTTCTGAGCCTGCTGCAGCAGATGCTCTTTTCTAGAAGCATATGTTGCAGCTTCAAGCTCTGCAGCCTCTTGTTTCTCTGCCTTGCGAGCAGCGCCTGTTGCTCTCGCAGTTTCTCTTGTATCTCCTTCTTGCGCCGCTGCGCAGGGGTCAGAGGAGGGGGAGGGGGAGTTGAGGGTGAGGCTTGGGCCTCATCCTTAACCACTACCTCCACCTGCCCTGCACCTGTGTCAGCGGTTTCATACATTTTCCCTCTCAGAACACAAAATAAACAAAGTAAAACAGCAGGAGGTGCAGCGATTTACAGTACACACAGACTCTCAAAATTCGCTGCACTGTCAATTCACAGAGCAATGTGGGTCAGTGGGCACAAGCGGTTAGGGTTGGAATAGGGCCACTGGGGTCAGTAGTCAGGTTGACTGGATGTCCAATAAAATCATGCACTAACGATTTCCTATACCTGACACTGAACTTTCACTGTAGTTGCAAGATGCACATTCACAGCATTCCAGGGGTCACTAACATTCCAGAGCCCATCATAAAGCAGAAAGAATTAGTAGTATTGAAGGAAACAGGCAAGAATTAACTGAAACAGGATAACAAGTAGTAGCGATTTAGTAAACTATACCCTGACAGCCCCAAACTCAAATTTCGCCACTGTTGACATCAACAGAAATAACCCCAGATATGGCGAATTTCAGGATTACACTGTAATGACTGAAATACGATGTTTCTGGACTAGCACTTTAGCACAGATGCTAAAAATAGAATTGCGATTCACCCCAGACTGACAAACTTGAATTCTAACGGCTAGATTTTGAGTTATGACTGACCCTAGGTAGCCTAGACTATAAATAGACTCAGCGCAAAACTCAAATCCACAGTATCACTACTTTTCTAGTACAGGATTCACATAATGAACATACAGGATGGAGCGCAATACTATCAGGCAGTCCCAGAACAATTTGGAGTCAGAATAGGTCAATAGATGAAGAGATATGAGTCAGGGTAGGGAGGAAGAAAGTGGATATGGCTGTCTTGCAGTCTGACAATTCCACCATTGTTATACTACTGACGGACAGACCATTAATCCTACTTCTACTGATACAATCTAATCGCTACTCAGGGATTCATCTGGAACAAACTCACTTGAAGTATAACCCTCAGTGGATGATGAAGCTTTGGCTATGGCTGCCAGACCCTGGTCTCGCCAGTACTTGCAAACAATCTTCCAGAGCTTCCCACGTACAGAATCTCCTGAAACTTGTTGATCTGCTCCAGTATGATGTGGCGATTCAGCCCCACCTCTCAGATTCAATGAATCTGGCTCAGTGGCGAGAGAATACTCTCCTGAAGGTATCTCGCCACTGCAAGGTATAAACCGCTGGTGCTAAATTTAGCCCTGGGTAGGGCTAATTTAGCAGGAGGTGATCCTGCGATCAATCCTCCCTCAGCGCTATGCTGGGATTGAAGCCGCCACCCAGTACTCACTGGATTAGGGTAAATTTCACCACCCTAGACCCTGTCATCAACTGAGGTCAGGAGGGTGGATGGCGAAATAACCCTATTCTTGCCACTTCCTGTCAGGCACACAGACAGGCACAGGGTGCCTGATCAATCGCAAACTGATGCCCTGCAATCACCGCTTGTTTGTCTTCTCTTCCACTGGATCTTTACTGAAGAAGAAGAGCCACCATGGCACTTCTCGCCAGTCAGGGCCAGAAAGAGGAGATGCCCCTGTTGCGCTCAACCCTCTGGACTCTAAGTCCAATCTCCGCTCTGATACCAACTGTTATGAACTTGGTTGTTTGACAATTTGATTGCCACTCACACACAGAAGAACTCACACATGCCCATACATGCATGAGACACAGGGGAGGAAGAGACAGAGTCCACCTGCACACAGACCAGAGATAAACAGCGGAATAGCAACCATGCACAGATGGGGAGAATACACACAGTGTTCTCTCTCTCTAATAAACTCCCAACAACCAATCACAGGATGACACTGCAAAGATCGCACTTGGAAAGTAACCTAGATGATGAGCCAACTCAACTCAATTAACCCCAATTATCGTAACAGAGTTCATCCCAGTATCTCGCCACTCAAGTCCCACGCACTCCACTCACTCCTACACTCTCAGAGTCTAGCGCTGCACTGAAACCGCCTCCCAGAGGCCAGCGCCACACACCCTGATGCAGATCATGAATAGCGAAGTAGTCTCCAGTGCCGATGCGTCACTCTGACGATGAAGAAGGCAGCTATGGCTGCCTAGCTGCTACYGCAGCAGCAGTACCCACATGTACTTAGTGAAGACCCTCCAGTAGTCCTGCCGAACGCAGATATCCCCTGGGGATAGATGCGCTGAGCACAGCCCCAGCTATGGCTGTCTCAGATAGGCTGGCTATGGCTGCTTCACGCAGCTGATGTCGCAGGTGTCGCTGTAGACATTCAACGCTGCTAAACTTGGTTGGCCACCAACGCTGCACGCGAAAAATGAAAAGCCAAAAGTCCCTACTCGATTCCCCTACAAGACTTATAGACTTCCTACACTAGCCTAGACCTAGACCAGACTGACTGGACCTACCGGTACCGCTGCTGTTTCGGCCTCTCGGCCTCTACCGGACCCGGCTATAGGCTATAGAACCGTATAGCAGTATAGGCCGCTTAGGGCCTGTCTGTCCTAGGGTAGCCCGGGCCTGCTATAGGCAGTTAGGGTAGCTGTAGGAACTCGGTTAGTACCAGGTCTGTATTTTTCAGAAATTACAGATCTGTCCCTCATGAATTTCCACACAGGCGGATCTCTCGGTTAGCCCTCAGCCAAACAAAATTACAAAACTAACCCTACAGGTTAGTATACAGCCTCGCAGACAATCTCGGCAGCAGGAATCAACAAGTCATTGCAATGGAGTAGGCCTTGGCTATGGAGAGAGATAGTGAAGCACGTCGTACGAGGCCATGAAGAAATGTGAGAGAAGCAGGATAAGGTCGAAGAAGGGGAGAGAAAGGGGAACCAACATGAGAGAGTCACATGTGGCTATGCTTGACCTTCATCCATAGTTCCTTGGTCTTGGGCGCTGTGTGTGTTCCAGTTGGTGTTGGGCTTCATCAGAGACACAATGGCCATGGCAGAAAGAGATGAAAGATACATACTAGAGATTGTGTTGTCCTCTGAACATCGCCGATGAGAATGGACGCTCCGCCATAGTGCTATTTGTAACCACAGACTCTGAGAGAGAAGTGAGGGTATCACAAAATGTGGTTTTTTTTTCCGCGTTGGCAATAAGGGGAATCTCTCTGATATCAGTCCTCTTCATTCATTCACCTGTAGTTGCATTAACTGAATATAAGAGGAGTAAGGGAGAGGAGGGCGAGAGAAGGAAGAAGTGATGGGAAAAACATTGGTTAAACTTGTGTTATTCTTCTTGTTGGTCTTTTATCTTTCATTGTTCTGGCCAATTTCGAAGTACACATTCATCAGAAAGTGCAATGTCGTCCGATTGGAAATAGAAATGAATGAACTTCAGAGAAGAGAGAGGGAAAGAAAAAGAAGAAGAAGAAGAAGAAAGAAAGAAGAAGAAGAAGAAGAAGAAGAAGAAGAAGAAGAAGAAGAAGAAGAAGAAGAAGAAGAAGAAAGAAAGAAAGAAGAAGAAGATGATGTACACCAACATAGACCAATGATAATGCTCTTCTTCTTTGCCAACCACTCTCCTCCTCCTTATCTCTTCCTCTCTTATTCAAACAAGAAATAATAATAACAATGTTGAATGGTTGAACCAAAATCAATGTCTGAATCCCACTCCTACTGCAGGTATCATATGAGGTCCACCATAGCCATGACCGACCTTCTTTCTCCTTCCTCCAAGGCCAAGGTTATGGCGGACTTCCAGGGCATCGCCTGCTGTCCAAAGGACAGCACAAAGCCGCTATGGCTTCTCTAGCTCAAGCCGCCATGTCAGACTTTGCCATAACACTTCTTGGTTTAGCTCTACCCCAATTGGGGCCTTCCTGCCAAGGTGATGAAGATGGCCACCACCATAGCCAGGTAAGTACCTATGGCGCTTCCCATTCCTAGTCCTCGTCTTCTTCCTCCTCTGTGTCCTTGCTCCTTCCCCAGCAGCTCTGCTCCAAGCTAGCGCTGCTCCAGTCAGCGCTCCAACCCGTGTGTCACCAAACCTGCACACCAACAATGAGAAGGAGCACCTTGCTCCTCATGGAGATATAGAGGTCTGCTTGCCTCTTGGCAAGTGACTTCCTAGGACGCACGACCTCCAAGCAATCGGTACCTCCTCCATTTCGGAGGGAAACATCATTGCAGACTCAGATATTGCCCATACAGGCCCTACCGTCTTCCCTCGAACACAATGCACCCTTATTTTGGTTGAATCTGACCGAAAATATAGCTTCTATACATTCATTTTTAGGGTGCGTTATGTTCGGGGGAAGACGGTAGACTTAGACTGGTTGGACTGGTACCCACCTAGACCTAGCCTACAACTACAAGGCCTCTAAAAATGCCATCTTTGTCTTTTTCTGCTTGGCCTCGAGTACCCGGCACATCTACCTCTACTTGGTTTGGTACCAGCCTACCTGCTACTTGAGTGTTTTCCTGCTGCTTCAAGTGTCACGGGCCTCTTTCCCCGCCACTTGAGTGATTTCCCCGCGGCAACGCTCAATGTCACGACCACAGGTAAGTACCGGCCCTTCGGGCCCTCTGAACGAACAAAGTGCCCTTGCGGGTCACACACACACTCAAGTCGACAAGCACTCGAACAGGCATGCAGGCCAGCAAGCATGCACACACACAGACTTAGAGAACTCGACAACAAGAGGGAAACTGAGCAAGACATTCATTCCATGAGCAAAATTGATAAATCAGTTGTGTCTCAGTTCGTGTTTGGAAGGTCATCATTACATTACCCCCCTCTTAAGAGCGAGGTCCCTTCGAGCGAGCAACTCATTTTGAAACCTCGACAAACGCATTGTAAGCAAACATAACAATGAGATTTTTGGTACAACATTAAAGGTTATTTGTCGCTCGTAGGCTTTAACAATGCGAGGTGCGCGGCGCAACAGTTCCTTCTTTGAGATCCTATAGAGATCGTCCAAGGGGTGATACATGAAATGAATCTGATACT